GCTTGACCACACAGAGCCCACAAATATAACATCCTAAGTGATGTAAGGGTGAAACTCATCACCAAGAGCTTTACTAAAGGCTTCTCTGGACGTGGTCCGGCACTGGGCCTGGGACAAGATGGGAAGCCTCTTATCCCCATGACCTAAGGCTTTCTAATTCTTACAGCCCCGCAACAGGGATAAATAAGCCTTCAGTATGGGCTGAGTCAATAAGAAGCAAAGCATTTGATATCAGGTATAAACTAAAGACAAGGAGACGGTATTTAGGTGGTGGTTCAAATTCAGTTAGCACTTTTGATGCTTGCCAGGGATAAGGAGATGCATTGTGAGTTCCCTGAACAAGCATGTGGGGAGGGGCATTTGGGGAACAAATGGTGGGCTGTGTTGGGGCACTTTATGTAGACACTGTATGTTACTACACTTCATCTCCACTACATGGTTAAGGAAAGGGGCTCAGAGCAAGTGAAAGGCTTGCTTGCCCAAAGTCACAACAGGGACAAGTCCTCCACTGAGCTTTCTCTCCACCCTGCTTGTCAGGATGCAGCCTCCTGGCCTGACAAGGGAGGTAGGGATGCAGCTGTGTTTCACAGGCAGGACAGCTGTGTCTACGTGACCCCTAGAGGGTGGGCTGCGACTTGGTGAAGAACTCCAACCCCAGTTCCTGCTGGAATGACAGCAGTATCAAGCCTGGCCAGCCAGAGTGGTATCTGCATGCTTGGGTGCAGAAGTAGGATAGGGGCTGCCCTGTAAGACAGCATAGGAAAGAGGAAGGCATAGCGAAAGCGAAAAAGTTCAGGGCCGTGTTTTCTTCGGTCAGTGTGGTGTTGGCCCTTTTTGGAATGCATGCCTTGAAGCAGAGCACATGCCCTTCAAGATCCAGTGCAACTGCTCCCAGTAACTTCACTCCTTTGGGATGTTTACAGATCCCTAAAGGTGTCTGAGTTCATGTCCCCTCCTAAGTCCTTCCAAAGCTCATGCCCACTACTCTGAAGCTGTTCTATGAACACAGAGACCCTAGAAGTGTTTTTTTTGGTCGACAACGAATGAGAAGCAGAGCTTGCATGCATCAGATTCTTCATAGCCTGATTTCCTTTAGGTTCACCCTGATTTTTTTTTTTTTTGAGACCGAATCTTGCTCTGTCACCCAGGCTGTAGTGCAGCGGCATTATCTCGGCTCACTGCAACCTCCACCTCTCAGGTTGAAGCAATTCTCCTGCCTCAGCCTCCTGAGTAACTGGGATTACAGGCATGTGCCACCACGCCCGGCTAATTTTTTTTTTTTTTTTTTTTAGTAGAGACGCGGTTTCATTGTGTTAGCCAGGATGGTCACGATGTCCTGACCTCGTGGGCTGCCTGCCTTGGCCTCTCAAAGTGCTGGGATTACAGGTGTGAACCACCACGTCCGGCCCAGGTTCACCCTGATTTAATTTACTCCTTGGGTGTGTGGACACCATCTGCTTCCAGCTATTTTCTGTAACTCAGCTCATGACGGTGCACCTAGAGTATCTGCTAGAGTAAATCCTCCTTCTGCATCCAAACCACACCTTCCTCCCAAACAGAGAGGATGCAAAATACCATGCAGATGTGAGCAGGCTGTGTTCCTGCACGGGCCTCTCTTGTCTTCATAATGAAGCTCTTTAGAATAAATGTTCATTATCAATTTTGAGTAAAGAAGAACATTTCAGTCAGTACCTGTTTGACCAAGCTATCCTTTTTCTAAATACCAGGTACCTAATATGAACTTGTAATCTTTAGGGGTATTTTGTAAGTTAGAAAATCTGTGTAAATATTATGCACATAAAAGGCATTACCTTTTGCATACTTACATTGCAAACTCTGCATTTAACACTTTCCTCGCAGTTAAAAGCAAGCACTGTCTTCTTATCTTGAACTTGTACATCAGGAAAGTGAGATGCCTTAGATATCCCTGGAGCCTAAACAAAATCCACAGGAAGCCTAATTGCTAGAGGAGGGCATGCATTCCACACCCTAGTTCTATGAATTAAAATGTAAAATCAGATGTATTTTGTTAGTGACTTCTCTTTCAATGTCCCGTGGCTAGAAATTTATTAGAATTCTGTGCACTGAATGATTAGCCTGGGAAAGAAAATAAGTGAGAACTATGCCCTTGAAAGACAGGAGTGTGTGCTTGGGCCAGGCTGGAGGACGGCCCCAGGGTTCAGAGAGAAATTCCAGAGGCTCCACAGCACAACTCTAGCCTGGCAGACTGCAGAAGGTGACTGGATGTGAGCGTTTCCCTTACCCAAAAAGTAGAAAAGTAATCCACGCTCAGACCCTCAATGTCTGAGCTACTCCAAAGGGGCCGGCTCTTCATATGAAGAAGATAATTTGGAAGGGGGTCATTTCATTTAACTTGAATAACACCCATTAAATGCTTCAATGCATTAAAAAGAAAATAAGACTGAGCTTGTGTTCAAGAAGCTCTACACCTGTAAGTCACAAACACCTCAGCATCCATCAGTCACAGGAAAGGGTAAGGTCACTGAGCACCTCAAGTGGGAGAGGGCACTTAAGTCAAACTTCCTCTTTCCAGGGAGTGTCCTGGAGCGGAGGGAAGAGTGCAGGCTCCAGGTCCTGACAGCCACACCGCTCTCAAGCTGTGGAACCTCGACACGGTCTGTCAATGCCTCTGAAAATCAGCTCCTTTATGTGCAAAATGAGATGTGAATTAGCTCGATTTAGCTATTCCACAACGTGCACACATTTCAAAACGTCATGTGGTACACAATTACATACAGCTTTTGTCGATTTAAAAATATATTTAAAAATTATTTTCAAACATTTAATACAAAATATAAATGTTTTAAATAAAAAAGCAATGGCCCTCACGTAGCTGTGTGTGACCAGTGAGAACCACGCCCAGAGCAGCTAGTACCGAGGAAAATGTTCTCTCCTCTTCTCTCCCGCATCCCCTTCCATCGTCCCCACCCTGACCTGCCTCGCTGCCACCACCCACCCGCATGCTCAGCAGTTTTTTCCAGGGCAGCCCTGACTACAGAAATAAGCAGGTGATTGGAAGATGGGTCCAGGAGGAGGAACACTGGAAGCGGATTCTTAAAATCTTTGTCCAATACCCAAAGCTGTTTTCAGTTTCAAGCTTCTTCTTACCTCAGGACACTTACACATGTTGTTACCTTCACGCAGGAAGCTCTTGCTGCCCCTCTGATAAGGGCATCATATTCTACTATTATACACATAAGTATAATATAAATGAAATATAAATTATGCTATACCATAAATATAAAATAATAAATGTTATTTATTCTCTGAAGCTTTTTCTTTTTCTTTCTTTTTTTTTTTTTTTTTTTTTTGAGATATAGGAGGTCTCTGATCTTGTCCCACCCAGGCTGGGGATACAACTGGCACAATCTCGGCCTTCATTGCAAGCTCCCGCCTCCCAGGTTCACACTGATTTCTCTGGGCCTCAGCCCTTCCGAGTAGGCTGGGACTCACAGCCCCGCCGACCATGCGCAGGCTAATTTTCTGTATTTTTGTAGAAGACAGGGTTCAGTGTGTTAAGCCAGGGATGGTCTCGATCACCTGACCTTGTGATCTGCTGCCTCAGCCCTCCGAAGTGCTGGGATTACAGGCGGTGAGGCCACCGACCGCGGCCGCTCTTCTCTTGAAGCGTCTTTCCTAAATCCTCTGCTGCCCCCAATTGCTTTGGATGCCGGGAAAAGACCCATGCTGCATGGGATCAGAGGGAATTGTAGGCTGGGGAAGTAAGGGACCAGGTCCTTTCCAGTCTCCAGCCAGGGGCTGAAAGCTCCTTCTTCCTGGCAGGAGCTGCCCAGCAGGCCAAAGGGAGGAATCTGTTGTGCAACCATTTGGTGTACCACTGCCTGATGGTGCTATAAGATCTGGAAAAGTGGCGCACGTTCAGGTAACAAAGCAAAACGTTTTTTGGGTTTCCATATGTGTCTCTTCACTCAGCCCAATGCCTACCCTCTAACATACGCTGAACCCGGCTTGCCCCACACGTAGCCATTTCCAAGCAACAGTCCGGGCACTTTTCCTTGGTGAGCAAAGAGGATCTTTTAGGGAGCAAAGAGCACTGGCTTTGAAGAGAGGGACAGACGGAGGTTCAGAATGCCAGCTCTTTCCCATTTGCAGTGATGGCCACAGTCAGATTCTCTCTCTAGGATTGCCTCAATCTGAACAGTGAGTGGGACAGTAGCTGTTAGTGAAGCTCAGATGGAACAGTGTGTAAAGGCGTGTCCGGACCATGTGGGTCTCAATAGATGGCCGAGGCACCTTGTATTCTGTGAGGAAGGATGGAAAGAGCACATTGTTTTGCTGGGTGTCGCCATTTGTCATGCATGAGGCTTGCACTTGTTGACGATGCTCATCTTACACATGCACACAACTGGGAAGTAACTGTTAAAGGATATTTTAAAGCAAAGCTAAAATAATGAATTCACGTTCACAATATAAATGGAACATGTCATCCAATATTCATCTTAACATAAGGAAAAAACTAGCTAAGAATATAAAACTGAGTCCAAAGAAAATTTGTACCAAAAACACCACACGTGACAAACTCGCCCCCCGCCCATCGATTGATATTCGTAGGTATAGCAATTGCATTCCACTCCACAAAATTTATTTGGATTTCTCTGTTATGAATCATTTTCATTACTATACTTTTTCTATAATTTACAAAATTGTCAAATAGCTCAAAGACAGTGAAAAGGGCAAGCTTTAAAATCAGATAATTTGGAAGAGTTACCAGATATCCTTTTTGGTTTTGTCTAATTCAAAATTTTTCCTGATGTTTTCTGGCATAACTATTATTATTCCTATTTGCAGCTGAGGAAACAGATTCAAAATGCAAGTGTGTGTGATGCATCTACAGTCACCAAAAAAAAAAAAAAAAAGTGTAAATGGCAGTGTCTGCATGCAAGTTCATCTTTCTATCACTCCAAAGCTAAAGTGGCTTTATTTAAACAACTGAGATGTGCTTAACTTGTATGTTTCAGGGGATGAACAATCAATACGTCCGTCGAGAAGTCTTCTGCTGTGAAACTTGTCATGAGCTAAAAAGCTTCTGGGAAAAAGAAATTAGTAAACAGACTTTTTACCGAGAACTGGAGGAAGATCGTCAGGAAAGAAGTGCCCTGAAAAAGTATGTGAATTGTTTCTCTATTATTACTTTTAAAGTGGATTTCCCAGAGATATGCCAGATATGAAGGTGGAGGTAGGAAATTCTCTTTGGTGCCCACTGCTGTAGGAATGTACATATGCTGGACATGAAAACATGGACACTGTGCAGTGACAGGCGGAAATGCGAGCTCTCATGAGGAAATGGGAGCAAAGCTTGGAAGGAAGAAGTTCACTGTACTCACAGGTCCCAGACAGGGGGTCACACTTGCATGTCCCACAGGGCCAGAGGGAAAGCTCCCTGGTTTTGGTCAGGTGGGAGAAGACCTAGTGGGAACTTCTCAGCCAGAGTCTTTATTGGGATTTCTATGAAAAAGGAAGGCAGTGCAGAGTGCATAATTCAGGATTGGCTAGTCTGAGTCATTCTGGCAGGATTTGGGCTACAGGAGTGGTTTCCAGTTGCCTGGTACCTGGCCCCAGGATAATCAAGGGCAGGGGAAATAGTGGCTCAGTGTATGAGAGTTAGACAAGGAGGTGGCTAGGGCTACAGACTTGAGATTGGTTGGTCTGGAGATTGGCCAAGCCTTTTGCTATCTCTAAAATAGGCCTTGTCCTAGCAGGAGCAGTCTCTCCCTAGCCAGCAAACTTTGTAAGATATCAAAACATCATAAAACACAGAAAATACAAAACATCACCAATACATCCACTCATTCAGTCTTGCAAGTATACCAGGGTTTTTCCACCTCAGCACTATTGACATTCAGGGCCAGATAATTCTTTGTTGTGGAGGGTTGTTCTGTGCTAAGATGTTTATCAGCATCCTTGGCCTCAAAACATTAGCTATCTGTAAGATCTCCACACGCATTGTGAGAACCAAGGCCACCTGCAGGGCAAAGTCATCCCTGATTGAGAATCAATGGCTTACAGATATGGATAAGACTTTTTTTAATACAAAAAATGAAGTTACGTTATTTATGTCTTGGTAAACTAAAACAATCTGTTTGCCACCTTTTCTCTGTTACAATCTTTAGCACATGTGGTTACACTAAATTTCAGGGTTAGGTCGACAATATATGTATATGTGCGAAAAACTAGTTTAATAAAAATCCTTCATCTGGGATAACATGTATCAAGATTCTTGGGAGAAGGGTAACGTGGTCTTTCTCTCGCTGGCAAATGAACTTGTTGTTCTAGTCCAAGGAGTCTGCTGAGAGATGAAGGTTTGCTTATGTGGGAAGATGTGTCATGTGTGTCAACCTCCATCTGAATGCCAGGGCCAGCACCTACCCTCACACATCAGATGCCTTGGAGCAGAAGGATCAGCTCCATTCTTCTGGGCCTGTCCAGGTTCTCGGTCCCTAAAATGGGAGAGGCTAGCCAGGTTGTCTGTCTGCTAGGACGTCCACTCGCAGGTGAAATGGTAGTCCGTGTTCTCCACAGCAGAGCACCGTGATTCCAGGTTTGTGTCTGCCTAGTGCATGCTGGGCTGAAAACATGAGTAATTCACGTGTGTAAAACGCAAAGTTAATTTCTAAAACAAAATCCTTTCTTAAGCCCCAGAGAGGAGCCTCCTTCCATACCCAGCGAAGAGCTCTGCCAACATTCCAGCCACACTCCTGGTGGCCTAATGGGCCAAACTAGGCCTTCCTACATGCTAGAAGAGTCTCCCGTTAGAGCATCCAATCCTATAGATTCTCAGGGAAGTGAAGAGAGTCCGTTGTGTGGTCCCCACCATCTTCCGTCTCCCAGTCCTGGCCCGCTAGCCCACTGGAAGCCAGATCTCATCTTGAGCCCTGTGCTGTATCTTCCCTTCCAGAAAGCAAAACTTGCAATATAATCTTATTTTTGTCAAGATAGTAAAACTTATATATATATATATATATAGAGAGAGAGAGAGAGAGAGAGAGAGAGAGAGAGGGTATGTAAAGGAAAACGATTAGAAGAAAATACACTAAGATACTGAAAGTGGTTATTTTTGACTAATAGGATGGCAGATCGTCTGTGTGTGTGTGTGTGTGTGTGTGTAGTGTGTGTGTGTGTTCTCCTATTTTTTCCAAAGTTTCCATAATGATCCTGTGCCATTTTTTAAGTAAAAAATAAGTTATAAAAATGGCAATAAATTGCAAATTGTCCATAGAACAAAATGCATTACTTCTCCAGGCTCCCATGTTCCCTAGAAATGATCCCCTCTTCTAAAGTTTGGAGCAGTTTTCTCTACCTTCTATGACTGAAAGAATCAATCTTTGTGCTCATCATGAAACATTTCATCAGTCTCCCCCAGCTAAGTGCTTGAAGACATGATTGCAGCAGCCACAGGACTCAGAACCAGGATACCACCAGGAGCTGGGGAAGCGAGGTGGCTCCCTGTGGTCTCTCTTTCAGCCTTGAGGCCACCCACCAGAGCCGTCACGCTTATCAATTGTGAATTAAAAATCTCAAAAGCCTTTTTAATTTGGTAAACAATGAATTAAAACCTTGTGGTTTTACTGTTATTTTTGCTGAAAAAAAAGCAAAGCAAACACATACACATCCCACCTGAACCAGGTTTCACAAAAGATCTAGAATTTTTAAATCAGAACCAAAATGTCAGAACATTTGCTTAAATCCCCGCTGATCTGAGCAAATAGTTTGAAACACTGTCTTAACAAAATAATAATCTCCCAGCATATACCTGCAGACCAGCGAATATCATGGACCCCTGAGTCCCTATTCCACCCCTGTGGGCTCTGCCTCCCCCAACTCCACTGTACGCAAATGCCCACACTCCAGTGTGCACATACACACACACACACACATACATAAACGTAACACGCACACCTTGTTTATTCTACCTTCCATTTATAAAAGGCAAATCCAATCCACCGTGTAATCAAGAAATATCCTAAGTGTCTGAGTGAGCAGTAGAGACAAAAACTTCCAAATTTTCCACCAAACCCCTTTGTTGACAGGAGAACAAATCCAATAATGCCTTATGCTCCTCTCCCTCTGCTGGGCTAACCTGGCAAGATGCTGTGCCAGAGCTGGGTGAATTGTGTTAAGCACACACCTGTGGGTTCAGTGACTCAGAGAAGGAAGCCCAGGATGGAGAGAATCCATTTTTCCTAGGAACTCATGTGCTGTATCTGGCAGAGGTCCCGGGGTGAGATCACAAGACAAAGTGGATGGCCCCAGAACTGGGAACTTCTTTACTTTCTCTGAGTCCGGATAGAGAAAAGCAACAGAACATGGATGGGTTAGTCCCCCAAAGAAGTTAAAAAGTGTTTGCAAACAACTGATTGAGGCCATTCAAGACGAGTCGAGCGCCGCGTAGGCATGATGTCTGACCGTACCTCCTGGTTTGCCTGGGGCAGTTTGGATGGACACCTATCAGTTTGGTATAATCATTGACTACAGTCTCTTTTATTTTCAGAAGTATCTCAGTTTAGATAATAAGTCTTATGGACACCTAAGTGCCCAGTCGGTAGCTATCACTAAGAAACTGGACAGTGCTTATGTGAACAACTAATGTTTTCAGGCAACAAGTGTGGTCTTCAAAATACTGCTTCATAATTTAGGAGATCTCAACAGTGTCAAGTAGACTTTAAATCTGGGAGTGCATCAAGCCTCATCCCAAGACCACTCACCTCCTTCTTGCTCTGAAAACTGCTTATCAATTATATCAATTAGGATGTTTTCAGCTTCGGGCAATAAGATATTGGACTCAGAATCTACCAGCCAGATGAAATCGCTATTTCAAACTTTGTATAAGATAAGAGTTAGTCTACAAAGAATAAGCAGGGAGAAAATTTTTAGTTAGATTTCTCATTCAAACTGAAAGGATAGGAAATACAGCTGGTAAACTGAGTTGGTCAAATGAGTATGCCAAAGCTTGTCAGCCTGTGTGGACGGACTGAGCTCTGCCCCTTGACCAGAGACGCAGCCAGTGAGCTGCAGGCCACAGGGAAACCAGACTCAGGCCCACCTCTCCCTACTATGAAAAAACAATTGTCAAGGCATGCTTCCCGCCCATGAGAATGGAGTCGGTGCGGCAAAATCGTCATCTGACTTTTCATACTAAAGTAAAAGCACAGAGATCAAGATTGGAGTTCTGAGAGCTGAAATGGCAGATCAAGAATTCGGTCAACTGTAAATTCCTTGAGGACAGGGAGTATTCGATTGCTTTTCTTTACATAGCCTGGTAGCCACAGAAGTGCCCCCTCAGAGGACCTTCAGGATCATTTGCTTTGGGAGCATAGTTGACTGACAGTGCCGGCTGCTCCCTTTCTGGATCCGCCATCATGTGTGAGCCAAAGCCACACTTCCCCCAGGCCACTCCCAGCCAATTACTGAGGGTGGCAGGGGTGCTAGTTCCAGGCAATTCCGGCACGACATGGCTCCTCTGGGGGCAGCATTTGCTCAGGGACTCCCCACCAGCCCAGCCCAAGCTTCCTCAGAACTGTGCTGTAGGATGGGTTCTTCCTACTCAATCGTTACTTCCCCCGCTCTCTTTTCACGGATGTCAGACCAGCGCTGAAATCTAAAGGCTCTTCTTGACTGCTTCAGTTTCCCCCCTTGTTGATTTTTCGCAGGCGTTTCCTCCAAATCTGCTTCTTGGAGGACCCAAACTGACCCATATGTTTAGTGCCTAGCGTATGATAGGAAAAATATAATTATGGATCCAGTTGTCCTCACCCACTCCAGGAATAACATTATGATTATGACTTAAGAATGTCGCAAATATCATCCTGCCCTCTAGGTAAGCCCCAGACTTAACAAGGACAATCTGTGCTCCTAGGAATTAACAACTCCTCCACAAATTAGAAGAATCTGGAACAAGAAATAGTAAACATTACCTCGTCTCCATTTGAAAAGTGAGGCCAATATTTCCAGGCTGAAGGTAAAAATGTGCTCTCTGAGCTTTAATGCCAGTCGTATGGCTCTTCTGATGTATCGGAATTTGTAAGCCAAGTTTTAAGCATTATCTTCTTCCTGTGGACCTTCCCTACTTCAAAAGGCAAGCACCATATATAAATTTTTATTCACCGG